AATATTGTCATTACCAAAAATGCTAAACTAAAGAGTGTACTATTACATTTGGTATTCTTTTCTCCCAGAAGACACAAGGACTTAATATCGTTTAAAATTAGCTATCTCTGTTATTATTTGAGATAGGGCTTAGATTTTAGTAGCATATGAAAGAGGACTTAATTCTAAGTCAATTTCATTGATAATCCCGTTTTGCTTAAAATTGGACTTAATACACTTTTATTCTGAGGTACAGATATTTTCTGACAGGTGATCTCAAGTTAAGGTTGATTTCATGTAATCAAATGAACTATTTTACAATAAAGCCAAGTTAAAGTTATTTATTTATGTTATACAATAATTAATATACAATAAAGTACTTACATATGTCAAAAAATAGTATAAAATAAAAATTAACATATTAAAAACATAAGGTATAATAATGCATATATACGTTCAGGCAAACATTAAACAGAATGTTATATTCTGGGTTCCCAGGTATACACAAAATAAGATTCATCATCATCAATACACAAGCCAGTTCGAAACATTAAAGTTAAAATTTAGGAATTCATCACTTGAAAACTGCTTCCCCTTCAACCAATGGACTCTTTGCTTCACCACAATACTCAAAGATATCATTAAGGTTAATTTCCATTATTAAATGATACAAATAACTCGTCTTAAACCAAACTAAACATGGAAAAGCAATGGTAAATATTATTCGAATGTTATGTTTGTTTATACCATGGACGTATAAACATAGATGGACACAGCAATAAGATACCTTTAACACACAATGTTTTGAAGCTTCGATAGAATGTGATGCTTCCGCAATGAGTATAAGCGTGCTTGAATTTTTACTCGCGGGTAATTATTCAGATTTTAAAAATTGGAAGTAGTAATAATGTATAAAAAAACGTTCAAAGAATTAAAAAAAAACGAGAATTTAACTATTAACAAATCAGGTCTTTATAGAAAAATTAAAATACAATTTTATTATATCTGATTGAATACATTAATGAACATGAATAAACTCAATGGTACGCCTATTAAAATGTAAACAAACACGCTTTTTCATTTCCTCATCTTAAATAATGTAAATTGTATGTACTTACAAATGAAATGAGAGACAGGGATGTAAATATTTCGTTTATTTTATTTCACTTTTCACAAATATCACTCAAAATACAGCCAAAATATCTAAAAACAATTTTTCCTTATTTCCTCAATCGTTGTAAACAAACATGGAATAGCATTTGAAGTTTGACGTAGAACCGTAAAACAGAGAAATGTAAACAACCGTTGCCATTTATAAATAGTTTTCAGTGCTTCTAAATATAAAATAATTGATTGATACCTATCTATTATACGCTATTATTAAATGATAATGCACACTATGTGCACACTTGATATTTTGATTACAATTAGATATATTAATATAACCAATAAATTATTATTTTGGTTTGATAGCACCTGTAGAGTATAAAATACGGAGTAATATTTTCAGCGACTCGCGAATAAGGAATTTTAATAAAAAAACGTGACAACAGTTGGAGGTGCTGAGAATGTGACATATTCAAATAATTTTGACTTCACAATTTTATGTAAATAACTGAGTCCATCTGTGTTTATACGTCCATGGTTTATACCATTTATATCGGCCATGACACTGCAATCGACCTGCCCCCTATATTCAGTTTCAATCGCGAATAAATGGGTTTTGTATTCTTGTGTACTCCTGAGACGTAACTCAAGTATCCCCACCTCAGTCGGAAGAGGCAACCGTAGTAAGTCTACGAACCGTGTCCTTGACCTAACCCCACAAACTTGTGTCAAAAATGTCATTCAGTCGTCCAATGAGAAGATGGAATGCAAGGTGGCAATTAGCCTCTCGTACACTCGTACAGAGATATACTTCATCTAATTTAGATAACGACTTATGTCATTATCTATGTCAGAGATCGAAGTTGACATAGTTGCCAAAGTATAAAAAAATCCTGACTCCATTTTAAATCAAATAGATTACATAATTATTGCAAAAGTATTACCATCTCTTTACAACGACTATTTAAATTTTTACGTGACATTTTTGAAATTAAACACACTAATTTTGTTTTAAAAAGAACAGATTTTATTAAATAGTTAAAAATATAAAACAAGAGATATTCACTTTAAAATTTAAAATAATGAAGTACAAAAAGTGTCAACACCGCAACTGTCAAATAAGTGTTACCAATTTATGCCAAAATTTTACCTTCGTTCGATTACAGTTACAGTGTGTTCCGAACAAATGTTCTTGATAAAAACGCTTTATAATGCATTTATACAAATTAAATGAAATATATTATTGTGTATTTCTTTAAGTTAACATTAATAGAAATTTTTAAATATTATATCTACGCGTATATAATAAAATATGTTTAGTGGCTGTAATGCCAGTGTACTCGGTAAAGTGATTCTAAAAAAGAACACACCTACACCCTAAATATTTTGTGTTGGTATCATGTGACGTCACAGGCTATGACGCCGATGACGTGCATCGTTATATAAATTAGATGAAGTGTATGTATCACTTATATATCAAGTCTTGTATAAAACTATCCTACACTTCATCTAATTTATATAACGATGCACGTCATCGGCGTCATAGCCTGTGGCACAGCCACCTTTACTTCCAAGCCATGAAGTAAAAAAGGCAACACCGCATTCTATGACGTCGGTAGTCCGATGATCAGCTGTAAGGTCTACCAGAATATTAAACTAATTTGAATTTTAGGAAACTGATAATTACAGAAATATTTTTAGGGAAATTAAATTAATAAAACCTTATATATACCTAGTAAATATATATAAAGTTTTATTATTATTTAGGTTATATTATCAATAAAATAATCACTAGAGTAAAATTTATTGCACATAAAATACAGTGTCAAACAGTTAATCTTACAATCAAATGCAGTCAAAAATCACTAGAAATTTTAAATATTTTAAGTACTTAAGCATATAAATAACACAAAACATTAACAGGACATTTAAAAAGATTATTAAAAATACAAAAGATATAAAATTTGTGATAAGTAAAAACTTAGTGTAACTATTATGATTAAAAAATTCATCCTAAGAAATCAGACACAATATAAATATGGTTCTAAATTAATCTAATTGAAAATTAAATATTTTACTATTTACTTATAACTTTTGTTGAATTTTCATACTTAGATATACAAAAGTAGCAATTTTAAATATTAATAGTTTGTTGTCATATAGACCAAGTTAAAAGAGGTATACATGAAAAATGTGTTGAATGTAACATACCATTTATAACTTGTATATCGATTTAAAATAGCCTATATTCTCAAAAGATTTTTGAATGTAATACTCAAATTTGTTATCACTTATCTAAAAAGCAAATCTAATCGAGTAAGTAAGTTCTCTAATTGTGACCATCTTGTTAATTTACTATATTGTAAAATCCATTTCAAATCATTACCACTTAATCTATTCTTACCTACATTGACGATTACAGGATTACACTAAAATTACTGCTAACTATTACACTAATATTATCACACTTGTGTCCCAACTGATTAATGTTTAATACATAGAAATATACACAATCACTTGTAATTTTACTTGTCCAGTTTTTCAATGGGATATTATTGTCTAAGTCTAATTGACATAATTATGTTATCTCTTGTTCCCTCTTCTTATGCACAAAGTTTCTTCTGTCTTCGGGATTCCTTCTTTCTTTAGTACGATGAACAGTTACATATGATGATTGATGGTACTTCAGGAAATATATTAGGAACTGCATTGCCTTTTAATTTGGGAAATATTAACTTTTCAATGTGTACATTTCCATCTTTATCTTCTCATTGTTCAGTCCGCTGAATACCATCTTCATGAAAAAGTTTGGCACATATTATGGAAGATTTGGTAATTGTACAGCCTTCTCTATGAATAGAGATTGGTTTTGCAACCAGGTACACAACAATGCCAGAGCATCTGTAACAAAAAACAAAAGTATTATTATTGTTGTTTTTAGTTTACATATTTTGTAACAAGAAGCAAAAGTATTATTATTTTCAGTTTGTTTTGTAGGTTATATTTATACTTGCCTGTCGTTAAGAATCTTCTAGAAGTTCTAAATTTAATGAAATTTCACTTATATTAATATTTTCTAATTGATTTAAACACAATTTACAAATAAAACATTCGAATAAAGTTAAAAAACAATAAATTCAACAAACTTTACAAGCCTTTCTATATGAAATGTTAAACCAAAACAAACCCACAGTCACAGACCACTAATAACGTCGGACTACCACGCGTTGTTGCCAAATTTCTACTTCATGGCTTGGAAGTAAAGGTGGCTGTGCCTGTGGCGTCACATGATACCAACACAAAATATTTAGGGTGTAGGTGTGTTCTTTTTTAGAATCACTTTACTGAGCACACTGGCATTACAGCCACTAGAAATATTTTATTATATACGCGTAGAAATAATATTTAAAAATTTCTATTAACGTTAACTTAAAGAAATACACAATAATATGTTTCATTTAATTTGTATAAATGCATTATAAAGCGTTTTTATCAAGAACATCTGTTCGGAACACACTGTAACTGTATTTGAACGAAGGTAAAATTTTGGCATAAATTGGTAACACTTATTTGACAGTTCCGGTGTTGACACTTTTTGTACTTCATAATTTTGAATTTTAAAGTGAATATCTCTTGTTTTATATTTTTAACTATTTAATAAAATCTGTTCTTTTTAGAACAAAATTAGTGTGTTTTATTTCAAAAATGTCACGTAAGAATTTAAATATTTATGTTGTAAAGAGATGGTAATACTTTTGAAATAATTATGTAATCTATTTGATATAAATGGAGTCAGGATTTTTTTATACTTTGGCAACTATGTCAACTTCGATCTCTGACGTAGATAATGACGTAAGTCGTTATCTAAATTAGATGAAGTATACCTATTTGCTATTTGGTCACAGAATAATAAACAAATTGTTTATTATTCTGTGATTTGGTCTTGAATTCGGTGGTCTTGACAGATAATGACACAATTAGCAGGGGTCACCTTGAAAAATAGAAGTGATAGGATAGGGTAGATTTTTAAAATTCTTCCTGGCCTTTTATAAAATATATTACAAATAGTACGTAATTTTGAAACCAAGTAAGCTTAGTGTGTAATTATTTCAAAAATGCCAACATTTGCGGTGAATAATTGTTTTTGAATAGATAACTTAATCTTTGAGACTCATTATCTTTATTCCTATCCTTATTTTTTTGTTATTTTGATGTTTTATTTAAATTTTAGGCTAAAATGACAGACAACTCTTCAAAATCCAAGTTTATAGAACGCGGGGCCTATAAGGGCAAAGGTCTTGCCGTATTTACAAGCGGGGGTGATTCTCAGGTCAGTTTATTTAATTAAAAAAACATTCCCTTAAATAACCCAAACATATATTTTGGTAGGGCATGAATGCAGCTGTAAGGGCTGTTGTTCGTATGGGCATATATCTTGGATGCAAAGTGTATTTCATCAAAGAGGGTTATCAAGGTACAATATTTCACAACACAATAAATATAATGTTCTACTTACAAGTGTTGTTTTGAATAGGAATGGTAGATGGTGAAGATAATATTGTTGAAGCTAACTGGTCTTCTGTAAGTTGTATTATACACAAAGGAGGAACTATAATTGGGTCTGCTAGATGTCAAGACTTTAGGTAAGAATAATGAATTTTATACAGATATTAAGTATGAATCCCATTTCTAGAAGTTTTTAGCTTTCTTTTTATGAAATTCCTATACATTCAATTAAATTATTTGGCCAAAGATTTTATCAGCTGTATATAATGTATGTAGCTGTATGTAATAATATACAGCTGTATGTAATATTTTTGAATAATGTATATCAATTGAAGTTTCAAATATTTTAGTAATAAATTATCAATTCTTTATGCCAAAAAGGAAGAAATTCTTGTGATTAATCTCCTCTAAAAGTACAAAAAAGTTTTCTCCTTTTATCACAATGCTGTAATCCTAGAGCTAATCTTAATTTTAGAAAAAAAAATAGTAAAAAGTAACCATCACTATTACAAATAACAACTACTGGACTAATAATTTACTCATGGATACTAAAAACCATGTATTACATAATCATATTTAAATTTGTAAATGCTTTGTAATTATTACTTAAAATTTTGATTTAATGTTTATTTATGTCCTAGATGAACAACTGATGATGTGCATGGACTCACATAACTAAATATGTTTGTGAAAGGTTCTGATATTTCCTTTCCTTTAAAAGTTAACTTTTTAAGTGGTAACACTATTAAGTTTGGTCTTAAAGTGAAAAGAAAAACTTTTGTTTTCGAAACTTTTAAATATTTATTTATGATTATATTTAATTTAGTAAGTGCATAATAATTAACATCTTATTTTTATTTTATCACCATTTCTTCTTAATGATAAATTATAAAAAGTAATCACTAAAAAGTCAACTGTTTATATAATCAATATGGAATTAAAAATTGTGTATATCACTGGCATGGTTATAGGTTTTAAAATGGAATATGCTAATTATAAAAATGAACTAAAAAGAGAGCAATGTTCTAATTTAAATGTATCATAACCAAAGGTTATTGATTGTATAAATAGAACTCTTTAGATTTTATTGTGATATTTGTCAACCTGTGAAACATATTTCGAAACTCATCTCTAACATTAAGATATTGGGAAAATATAGATAATGAAATGAACCAGCTTCAACAGCAATTGTCCTCAACTAATGTGATCAAAGAAAGCTTAATCAGTGAATTGAATTATCCATAGAAGATAAACCAATCTGATGTTTTATAACCTCAGGGAGGTGACTAACAAACCAAGTGTTTGTTCTCCCAAGTTGGGAGAAAAAATAAAAGTGATGCTAGTGTCTTAAAAATAAGTTTCAGGAAAAGGGATGATGTTACTGATGGTAATTTGAAATAGAAAAAAAAAATCACCAGATAGAAAAGTTTTCATCTAACTGGGTACCTACAACACAGGGCATACCATAGACTTATATATACATAGACTGAGCAGTTTTTAGAGCAAAGTCACTACACCAATTTTTTTTTCTTTGTTTGATCTGTCTGACTCTTACAAATAGTAAAGCTGCAACAGTATTTTTTAATTTTATTTTAAGTGGTATCTTATTACTTATATATAAATAAAACCACGTGCTTATAGTTTATTTCCAAATAATTTTCAATGAATTTTCAAATGTGTGAAAATTAGTTTGGGTTATCTTGAACTGAAAAATGGGTTTCTGTAGAATGTTAAATTAAATATGAGGCTGATTAAAGCTTGTATAAGTAAATTATCAAATACAGCAATCTATTTTATTTATTTATTTTTTTCAATGGTAAAACCATTTACAATAAAATACAACAAATAGTAAAAAGTAGAAAGTAAAGATCATGTACAATAAACATCAAAACAATACCAAAGAAACAAGTAAACTGTTAAAATTTGTACATCTAAACAGTATATCAAATCACAAAAATAAAAAAAAGTATTAGTATCACATAGTAAGTATCACATATCTAGATATATCCCATTTTTAGTTTTTATTAATTACTGAAGTTAAAGGTCTATTGCATTTGTAAATTCCATGAGGATTGTTTTTGTTACTGATGTCCTTCTACTGTTTTTCTGTGGCCAAACAATGTTTTTAACAACTTTTTATTAAACTGATGATGGAATGATTCAATTCCGAAAAGATTTTTTGTAAAGCAAAAGTTTTTAATAAGCATTTTTTATACCTTGATACACATGAACATCATGTGCTTTGGATTCAACAGGTATACTAGCCACTCCTGGATATCTCCACTTCATGGTTTTGTTCCAGTTTCACTTTTAATTATAAATACAAGAAATACAAGAACATTTAGTTGGATTTAAGCTTAAACCATTTTGTTTTGACCATAAACATTATTATTTACATCATCTTGCAGGAGATCTCTATCCGATTTATTATGTATACAACGAAATAACTTATAGCCTTACCAATATCGTTAATGAACAAGTTAAAAAACAAGGGACCACAATGAGACCCTTGTGGTACACCAGAATAACAATGGAATTCTTTTGAAATATAATTGTTAATACAAACTTGCTGTGTATGTCCCATCAGAAAACTTTTAATCCAATTAACAATTGGGTCACCAAAGCCAGATGCATGAAGTTTGTGGACCAAAAGATTATGATTAACCTGGTCAAAGGCCTTTGAGAAATCAGTGTAAACGCTGTTGACCTGAATTTTATTTTCAAATGCACCCAACAAATATTGTTGGTAATTGACAAGGTTTGTTACTGTTGATTTCCCATTAGAAAAACCATGTTGTTCATCAATAATTATGTTTCTGCAAGCCCAGGTGAGATTTATCGATACCAATTTATCAAGAAGTTTCGGTAATATTGTTCTGAAGCTATTTTCTTGTGGCATTTTAAATTAATTACTATTTAACTGGGAATAAGCCACAATTAAAAATAAAAATACGTTTATTGACGTTTCAATTTCCACTTCCGAAGTGGAAATTGAAACGTCAATAAACATATTTTTATCTTTAATTGTGGCTTATTCCCAGTTAAATAGTAATTAAGAAGTTTCGGGATTGCTGATTGAATTGCGAGAACACACTCGCGATTGCCAGATTTATAGATAGGTGTAAGAAAACTATTATTTCAATATTGTGGAAATACAGATGATGACAATGATAAATTGAAAATGTGTTGTAAAGGTTGACAAAGGGATAAATACAGTTCTTAATAAGTGCTGCAGGTATACCATGAGGTCCTGAAGATTATGTAGTTTTTATACTCCTAATCCCTTCGAAAACATCAGTCAGACTAAACTTCAGAATCTGGAAATGCACACTATAGTCCAATTTAAAATTAGGTACATTATACTCACTATATGTATACTATTCAGGTACATCATTATATGTACCTGAAAAATAACTGGCAAATAAATTGACTATTTCATCACCATTCTGAGCTATTACATCCCCACCCTTATTAGACATTACATTAGGATAAGCACTAGACCCACATGTAGTACTAACATACCTCCAAAAAGAGTGGGGATTACTTGAAAGATTTGCTTAAATATTCTCTAAATAGTTCTTATAACATACTGCTTGTAATGATTTACATCTTTCCCTTAACACCAAGAATTCCTCATATGAGTTGCCTGATGCTTTAAAATTCCTCTGAGCTATTTTTTTGTATGACAAGCTCAATTAATTCTCGCGAAAACCAAACTGGAAAGTTTAATGATTTAACCTGTTTGATAGGAACAAACATATTGATGGCATCATATAAAATATGGTAAAAATTTTCTAAGCAGCAATTTATATTTGATTCATCTAATAACTTGTTCCAAGGAATTGAGGCTAAATATTCATTTAAAACTTGATAATTATATTTTTTAAAATCATGATAGAAGACATCATATTTAAGAAACAAATTTAAATTAGCTGCATGTAACAATATAGTATAAGCTAAATGATGTTGCGAAGTATTCAATAGAATATCAGTTGAAATCGACATAACTGCATCCCTCTGAGTACAGAAAACTAGATATAAAAATTTATTATTAAGGTTAGGCAAAGCATTTACTTGTGACATATTTTGAAAATTGTAGCAAGTAAAAATAATATTTGCTGGAGTGATAAGGACACTCAACCGCCACACCATTACTAAGATTATCCCAGGATGCTTCAGGTAGGTTGTAGTCACCAGAAATACAGAATTCACAATCACTGAATCTTTCCGCTAAGTCCAACATACAGGTGGAATGCTCCTCATATACTGACCCAGATGACCTTGAAAAAATGTACACTGCACCAATCATGGATAGTTTTTTTATTAAAATTTTTTGTCATTGCTGAATTTTGAATTCAGGTCTCAATCATGTGTGTGAAACATGAAAGAATAGATGGGTGGATGTACTAATCATTGATTGTTAATGTATTTGTGCACAAGTATATATGCAGTAATTATTTAAATAAAAACTTTCACTCGTCAGAGAAAATAAAGAAGATATGTTCCTAAAAGGCATTCAACCCATTTAGACTTGAATATAATATTATACATGGGTATAATACATGGTACAATCAAAAGAATATGCTATAGGTATGATCGATAGCGTGCTAAATTTCGTCTGTTCTACGCAGTGACGTCATGCGGAGAGGTACATTCTTAAAGTACATGGAAGGACTGCTTAATTTCATCACTTTAATATTTTATTATTTATAATTTTTTTGTTTGTGTCATTATTTTTTTTAATCACTTTATGAGACATCTGATATTTCGTGCCCGATTAAGCGTTTTTTGAGGCCGAGAGCTAAATAGCAAAGATTGTTAATCCGGTGCCAGGGATATTAATTAAAAGCTTTGGTCAACTTTAGTATTTAAAACTAATTTATGTAAGTCTACTGAAATTAAAAATAAAAATTCTTTTATTTGTGGTTATAGTATGATTTTATTTCGTTTATAATACAAATAAAGAATAGTAGTCTTTTGTATCATGTATTTACATTTAATTGAGATTTAAAATTAGGCAGAAATTAAACATATCAATAATTTTAAATGGTACATAGTTTATTAAAATATGTCCATACAATTCACATGGTAAATAAAATATGAGGGGTAAAAACACATATTATAAAGTTATAATCAG